AGTGGCAAACAGCCGCCGTCCTCCCAAGAGAACATTTGGCTTGACCGCAGTCACATCATATATTTTCTGCCTGAGTTTTCTCGACCCAGTTCCACGACACCAATTTGCCAAGGGGCGGATCTTGGTGCCGGTCTTCAAACGAAACCACTGCCTAGCGCGACAAAGTTCCAATCAAGATCATCAAGCCGTTCAGTCCCCCTCCAACTCCCACAAGAATTGAGAGTATCCCTGACTCATACAAAGCTTGTAACAGATCCCCTAGTGAGTAATACATTGCTTCAGTGCCTCTTAAAGCACAAGCACTGAGTCTTCGCTTGGATACACAGCTTGGTTGTTAGTGCCTGAGTACCTTGAGCAGCTTTTAAAGTTGACACAAACACAACCGCAAAAGCATTGTTTTTTCAATGCCACGCCTTGTAGAGTCATGGTCTAGTGAGTCTAGTGGTGCGAACGAACAACTGGATATAGAGTATATCACAGCATGGAAAACCCAGACTCCGATCCTTGCATGACGTTGTCCGCTCTGGATACCCACATATATACTTGTGTGGCTCTGAGAGATTCTGAAATTCTCCGATTCTCAGTCCTAATCATATGCCTCCATCTATCTCTGATTCGCGGCGCATGATACGACCATTCAGTATGACAGTCATCCGTGGAAAATACCGGAGGAACTGCCCCCAATAGTCAAACAACACGGATGAATTGTCACATACACACACACATGATCATTTCAATCATTTCCGAAAGTTGACGTCAATTCCGTTGCTCAGTCAAACATAGATCTGGATCAGGTGTCCGTAAAAGAAAAAGGCTTTGGTTGCCCTTGGTCTTCGCAAAGAAGCGCTCAGGAGACAGTGAACTACTTCAGGACTCCCGACGGCAAAGGGCGGTTCCTCAGAATGGTCCAGGCAAGGGCGAGCTGTGCAACGTTCAAGCCAAGCTGCGCAACAATCCTTACCTATTATCATGGCATATAATGACTTGCAAAGGTGCACGCTGAACAGTCGTGAATCGTGTTTATGCACTTGTCACACATGTAAGAGCAGAATACAAACACATTCGAGGGGAACTTGGACTTTCTAGTGCTACCATAACCTTGACAAATCAAATCACAATCTATAATCTCAGCCACTGCAAGGCTTCGAGGTCAACCTCTTCACGATCATCATATAATAGATAGATATAATATATGTATCATCATTGTCATCATGGTCTGAAATAACAAATCGGGTGGATGAGCTGAGTGGCTGCTTGATCTTCTTGGCCAGCTTCATCTTCAACGTGAAGGTCTTGACCTCGGGGGCTGAGAGTGAACATGGACAGGCCCTGTTCTGAGCGGATCCAGCTTGTGAGGCGTCAAGCGTTTCGAGGAGGGTTGGAGGTTCAACATGTCGAAAGTTGTGTGGTGCGCTGATCCAGTGGGAGAATCGTTTCCACAAGAATGACTTCATGAAGTGGGTGGCTTGAGAATTGAATGGTTTGGCAAATGAAGACATGAGATGAAATTAGTAAACATGTTGTCTCTAGAGATCTGGTACCTCTGCATCAGGATACGTATCCAGGAGCTCATGCAATCCATCAGAACGGCATCCGAGCGGAAGTCCGTTGATGACTCATGGCCCCCATCCTGTGATCCCGGCTGCCCCCATGGCCGCCCTGGCAAATCGCTCGGCGCGTCGTGTCCTCTGCTAGATGGAAACCCGTGATGAACTAGAAACGAAGAGGATTTTCCTAACCTCACCTCTTAACCTTGAAAGACAAGACAACATGTCCACCTCCTGGTGCATTTCCCTGCTTGACATTCGATGTGCAGGTGCTGCATAATTGATGAATATTGATCTATGTTTTGGTGCGGTTAGCCGGAAGTGAATCCAGTACTGAACCACCAATAAGTATGAGCATAGAGTCCGCGAAACACTGTGTGTGGTGTATCTAGACTTTCCTACCCCACGCCCTGACAGTTGGGGTCGCAGGGGTTGGTCCAATTGAAATTGGTCAATAGAATCCTGCTTCAGCCCTATAATTGTTATGTGACATGTGACATGTGTATATCCTGACTGACAGATTCCTCCATCCTTTCTTTCGCTACACGAGAGAGTGTAACAAGGAAGCCTTTTAGACAGTGCCCCATGGGCAAGTCCCTCTGGTGCACCTCCACCTCCCATGCCATCCGCTGATGGTCCCCCACACCTGCCTGGTTCTCCGGGCAGGTGCACAGCTCCGTGCACGGGTCCGTGCTTGAAACGGGCGACCGGAACATCGGATGGACATCGTTTTCGGACCAATTGGATCCAGCACGCGTTGGACTGCGGTCTTTCACATGGCCGATGATCGTCCATGTCCAAATGCTGCATATGTTTGCCCGGCGTCAAATACCCGCGAAAATCAGTAGCACGAGAACCACATTGCATCACCCTTTAAGGATCAAACACATCAAAACACAATACATCAATTCACAAATGCAGGCACAAAAGGAATGAGGACCTGCGATGATGTCTGATGCAACTGCTGTCGCTTGCCAAACGGTGCGAAATGACACCTCCAAAAAACTTCCTTTTTACACGTCACGTCTGGCACTGTACTGTTCATGAAGCGTTGATCAGGGCCCGGATGGATGCACCATGCTTGCCACTCCAAACTTTGAGGCTGCTCCAAGCTTGTTCAGTTTCTGGGGAACTTGAGGAGGCATCATATGCGAGCTTGTGGCCGCTGTCCATCATGTCTGCTCAACCAGACTGGCTCTCATGGCCTTCACTTTTGCTGTCTTGCCAACTGTATCAGGTGTGCCCACCTTTGTACAGCTGTATGCGATTGCCACTGCCAGGCGGACACTAAGGTTGTCTCCTCTCATTCGGCTGTCATGTGTCACTTCCTCTCATGCCACCGGCACCACCCTCCGTCCCTGCACCGGACTCGCCGTCGCCCTCGCCCTCGCCATCGCCGCGAGGAGCGTCTGTGCGGTGAGTGGTTGGAAGAGGCCCAGGAAACGGTCGCGGCCGGACGGCCAGACCTGGCGATTGAGGAGCGGGCCAGCTGTGCAAAGATGGACAGTTGAGCGGGCCAGTTGCAATATAGAAGTTCCACTCTGGCTCAAGATGCTTCAAAGCGGTTCCGATTGTGGTTTGTTTGTCTACTAGGTCCAGGTAAATATTCTAAGATGACTAGGGCAAATACCCGCGGTATAATTAGAAGCTAGGATAACTAGCAAAGCAAACACCTACATGGTGTCATGCAGTTCAAGATCATCCATTTGGTGTTTTCATTTTGTGTGTGTGTGTGCGTGTGTGTGTGTGTGTGTCAACCCCTGTACCTAAGGGTTCCGATGTACAGTGATTCCAAGCAGGGGGCCGGAGCCAGGTGGGGGGTCTCCGGCCAATATTGGCGAAGACGCCCCCCACCTGGGTGAAAACGTACCTGCGTTTTTCCAATTTAATTTTTAATCAAGCTCTAAAGTGCCAATGCAAGATGAAAACAATGTTGAAACATCTCCAATTTTCCGGACTCCATCGCCTTTCCGTTCTGCATTTTTGAGTCAAGGTCTAGTTGCACTAAAGGGAAACTTTTGTTAAACTATACTGTTCTCGCTGACCCATGCGCCTTTCTGTTCCCTCACCTTCCCTTCTCAACGTGGGAACTGAGTTAACTGCAAACCAATGTCAGAGTGTGAACCGCTCAGCCGTCCCACTTGGGTGCTGGGTGTGATCCCCGTGAAAGGGGCGCTGCAACCATGCCGGAACTCATCCCTCCCTTTTACAACTGAATCTTTCCACTGACTCACCTGGTTCCACTTCCATAACTGAATTCGCTGACCAAAAAGCCGCCGGGCTTTCACGGTGAACAACCACGGCCGCCGGGCCAAAAAACGGAATTCCACTTGCGGTCAGGCATGTTTCCCTTCCCCCCCCCGCCGAGTTCTACTCCCCACCTAATTAGGGCAACACAGGGAAATGGTACTCGACACACTTGTGTGTCGGTGCCTTTCCCTTTGTTGTTCCTGTTCTAGTCTTCTCTACCCGGGCGGTCTAGGACTAAAGTCCCGCTCCCTAACTATTGCATTTAATTCGCCTCGGCTAAGTAATCAGTAACTCTAGAGTGCTAAGTAGTCATACACACACACACACACGGACACACACATGCTACATACACCCCCTCCCTGCCCCCCCCTTTCTTTCTTACGCTTTCGGTGGTTTCTTGGGCTTTCTCTCAGGCTTTTTAGGTTGTTCTTGAGGCTCGTTTCCCTGCCCCAGTCAAGGGCTAAGTATTCACCTTTCTTCTACACCTATCTTTCTCTCTTGCCCTCTTAGCGCTGCTCTTTCTGTGTTTCTTTCTTTTGTTTCTAAGGCTTTTTAGGCGCCTATTCAGGTCGTTCGCACGAGCGCCGCAAAGCGGCACCGTGTGTGTGTCAACCCCTGTACCTAAGGGTTCCGATGTACAGTGATTCCAAGCAGGGGGCCGGAGCCAGGTGGGGGGTCTCCGGCCAATATTGGCGAAGACGCCCCCCACCTGGGTGAAAACGTACCTGCGTTTTTCCAATTTAATTTTTAATCAAGCTCTAAAGTGCTAATGCAAGATGAAAACAATGTTGAAACATCTCCAATTTTCCGGACTCCATCGCCTTTCCGTTCTGCATTTTTGAGTCAAGGTCTAGTTGCACTTTGTTAAACTATACTACTATACTGTTCTCGCTGACCCATGCGCCTTTCTGTTCCCTCACCTTCCTTCTCAACGTGGGAACTGAGTTAACTGCAAACCAATGTCAGAGTGTGTGTGCGCGCGCGTGTGTGTGTGTGGGTACATCAGAACAACCCCTTACAACTAGTGCCATCCACTGTGGTGCCTCTTCCAGTGTTTTTGTGTGTTGTATTTTTGTTTTAATATCACATCACCACAAATAAATAGTAGAACCCTAGTAGAACGCTGAAAAGTTCAACAACAAGAAAAATGAGTCAAAGGGCACTCGACAACCAGTTGAGAACATAAAAGAAGTCGTTTCAGACCTGCAAGTCATCCATGAGCTCATCCAGGTAATCGAAGACTCGCGGCACAGCCACCATGGTGTGCCCCACCACCGGCGCGAAGCTCCGGCGCCATTCTCTGTAGCTTTTCTGCGTCGGTTGACGCACTGCCGGTGCTGGGCGAGGGATCTGATGGGCCAGCAGTGCCTGTGAGCAGCGAGAATTTCATCACCAAGTGCTTGGTCAGCGAAGCATCTCTGCTGGGATTTCGCACTCGATAGCACTTCATTGGTAGGGTGTTGTTCGATGCAAGTGTTTTTAGGACGCGAGACTCGAGGATATGTTCCACCTCTCTACTAGACTCGACAAGAGTTGTGTTTCAAGAGGACACGTTTCTGTTGGGGCCACCGAAGCATGTTCCCTCAGGAAGAAAACAGAAAAAAAAACATTATGTTTTTGGAGTGTCGTGACCGGGCAGTCAAGCGCTTCGTGATGGACTTTGTGTCATGAGTCATGTCGCAGTATGTCGCAGTTTCCAACTCCAACCCTCACCCCTCCAGTTTCCTTGCAAAAATAAAGGTCAACCATGGTTATCCATGGTTCACCTTTTCATTTCCTGTTGGATTTTAGATGATGATGATGTTTGTGGGAAATCTACTCCCCGCCCCCAAAAAGGTTTTGCAGATTCTCTATACTTATCCTAGGTCAACCTTCCACACCGGTCACAGGCCAACACCAACAAGGACTTCATGACACGAGTGCCCACACAAGCACACACCTCGTGGCCTTGTAAATGTCCACTACAAAGTTCAGCAGAATCATACAGATTCCCCACAGAGTGAAACGCGCAAAAGAGATCTGTAGGACCAGTGGCGCGAAGCCGCTAAGACATGCATAGCGTAACAATGATCCTAAAGCCAATCCTGCAGGTTCCCACTCTGATACCCAAATGTTTGATGTTGTTTCGACACAAGGCCACGTCAAACGGCCTGGTCTGTCTCACACATACTAAGATGCACCGCGACCGGTTGACCAACCTCTCTCTCGAGGTGGGTCAAGTTAGTCAAGTATTTGGCTTTCAGAACGAGGACACTGTGACTGTGACCACGCAAAGCTGGGACCAGCCCTTGCACTGGGGCCATGTATTTTGGATCTTGATAAGCATGTCAGAACGGGCGACGATCGAAACCATCTGCGGATCAAAACCATCCTCCAGAACGCCAAGGGTGCCTGCAGCCACTGGGCCTGGACAAAGGAGGTCACAATGTCACAGGTGGTCAAGATACCTGGGAACCCCAGCGCACCGGTTTGAGTGTGGTGGAAAGTCATTAAAAAACAATTCATATCGTGCACATAAAGAAGGCCTGAACCTGCCAAATGTAGAACATCGTAGTTATTCCATGTTATTCCAACAACATCTGTGTGACATTCCATTTCTTGAACATTGCCTTGTGAATTGTGCTGTGGATTGGTGGATCAGGTCACCCTGTCGACCCTGCGAGCAACCCTGTGGCAATGAGCAAAAGGAAAAAGTCCCTGAAGACACTGAGGCAGGTTCTGGGAGAGGTCCGACAGTACCATCTTGCTGTTGCATTGCTTGGTACTGGAAATCCGTGCCACAAGGACCGTGCCAACAACCACCTCCGGGCCGACACTCTCCAAGGGACGACCAAGGAAGGCCAAGCCCGGCAGATCTGGAAGAATCAGTTTGTACAACTCTGGGCCTTCACCATGAGGATCCAGGGCTTTCAAGGTCTCTTCGTCGAAGAGCTTGGACCAAGACTCCTACAACAAAATATAGTCACTAAGCTACTAGTGCTATTACTTTAATTTAGTTTTAGTTTAATTCTAATAGCTTTTTGTTACTACTAGTAAGGCACTTGTTACTACTAGCGTGGCACTTGTTACTAGGGTCTGCGACATCTGTGACTATATTTTTGTAGAGATTGCATGATGGATCGAGTCTGAAATCCCGGTGACCGTCCACCCATCTCTTTTTCAGCGGGGGATCTAGGCCCCGGGCTTTTCCCAAATCCATCGAAGCGGTCCGAACACACGCTCAAACTCCTCTGCCCATGCTCCCAATATCTCCCAATCAGCAGCCACTTGATGCCGTTCCCCAGTCTTCGCGTCCTGATACCCCGTAGCGAAGACCACCACGTCTGCTGTCAGCAACACCGGCGCCTCTCCACCGGACGATGCAGCGCTCTCCGTCCCGATGATGCAGCCGGTGCCGGTGAGACCCAGCAGCTGGCCGCGCAGCATGCGCGCTCCCCGGCGCAAGGCCTGGCAATGACTGACCTATACATGGTCGAAGTGGGTCTCCTTGATCTCCCTATCATCACACACCCCTTTGTGAGTGCTGTAGGAGGGGAAGCAGAACCAGTTTGTCCTCTATATATACGACAAGCATGTCCACTTCCATGGAACCTGAATCAAAAAGTACACTCTAACATACTAACCACCCTGCTTTGTAGATAAACAAAGCAGTCTTCCAACTTCCAAAGAAACCATTTTCATCCATTTTCATCAATTTTCCGCTTCCATGAAACTTGAGTCAATGCATCTCCGTTCGTGGAAGAAAAACACACGGATTCCGCCCAAAAAAGAACCGAAAGCCTCCTTCAGTGGTGCAGGGTCACAAATGGACACCGAGTGTCCATGCCAGAGCTGCCACGCTAAGGAATGGCTCGGCCACATCGCACGAGGAAGGCGAAAGTGGAACCACAAGATCGGCACCAAGATCCACCATAAAAGTGCTTGAAGGGGCCACAAGAAGACTCCGATCCTGAAGATATGGATAGTGCAGTGAAAAATGCAAACAAATTCCATAATCTCGGAAATGTTGCTATTGCAACAATCAACACACAAAAACACACAAACAAACAAACAAGCAAACAAAAAACAAACAAACAAGCAAGCAAACAAACAACCAACGACCACCACCACAGCCACAAGCACAACAACACAAAACCCAACATGTCATGTCTTGCTAGATCTGAGTAAATAGCAGCTGTTTTACCAGTGTATAGTACATGTATATGTATGTGAAATTATATCATATTGTGTCTTCTTTATACCTCGCTTCGTGGGACGGGGCCAAGCATCCACCGTCGCAGTCGACTGGCATTGTAGTAGGGCGGAAAGACCACGTGTGCGAACCAGCGTGTAGAGGCCAGGTATTCCAAGGGGATGCCTGACAATGGAGACAAACAGCAAGCAAGTTCCGAAGTTCTTGCTTGGCTTCCCTTCAACATCATCGACATCAGCTACATCTACATCTACATCGACGACGACGACGACTACTACTGCTACTGCTGCTAGTACTAGTACTACTAGTACTACTAGTACTACTAGTACTACTACTACTACTACTACTACTACTACTACTACTACTACTACTACTA